GAATAAATGTGGTGTTTAAATAACGTTTTTATTAAATACTGATAGATACAGATGTGTAGCATTATTATACTACGATATAACATAAAATTATGATTTTTTAGTATACTCATTAGTCATAACTCACYCCCATTTTTTTATTTAATAGTATATTTAGGTATTCAAATATTTTTAGAAATTTTTRATATATCTAAAGGCCATATTTTAAAATTTCTGATATTTTTTACTACCTACTTAAGACATATCTTGCGGCAATACAAACTTGTATTTTTCAAATGAAACCCCATTTTTACTGCAAATTATTTAGCGGATGATTTTTTTGAAAATGTATAGATGCATAAAAATCAAAATTTTAAGGAATAGTTTCTGAGTTATTAAAATGTTTAAACTAAGGATAATAACCCTTAAAAATGGTTTTATGAAAATGAAAACTAGGTATATGTAATATTAGATGTGGTATTTATTATGTGGATAATTTTTACTAATTATTCATATTGATATATTAATATAGTAGGAAGTCACCAACTTTTTTAAATTGTCTATAAGCTCTCATATCCACATAACCCATTGCCATACACAATAGGCGTATTATCTTTAGTACACAAAGTTTTATAACTTAAAAAGTACTTAACGGAAGTTTGTATTGTCTCAGGTGATGTGTACTGGCGCACGGATTTCCTAGATGGAGAGAGGTAGGACAAATTTCGAAGAATTATACGTATAGATGCTTGGAAAATGATTAAAAGTTGCGTTTGTTTCTACAAACTATGAATAGCTATATCGCCTATATCTAATAATTATTACTTATTACATAGTTAGGTATTACTAAGATTTTCTGTATAACAAAAGAGGTCTATCTGAATTATTCTGGCTTAACGGCTACTCATGGCGACCGTGAACATGGCGCCTGCCTGTGYAACGGCCAGGGTGGGAAATGCTGGATCAGCAGATTCCCTCTCTTGAGCGTTCGGTCTCGTAGTCGTGAACACCAGTATACATATCATATTACTCTAATGTAACTATATATGCTAAGCTTATTATATATCACAGGATCATTCCTAAATGGTAAAAAATATAAATGGTCTTAAAGTGAATTGAAATTTTTTTTAAATTAGAATTTGGATATAAGCATAATTTACTGTATATTATTTTTAGTGAACATGCTTAAAAATCATTCTTAATAAATAGGAGTKTATAATATGTAATGTACATGATGGGCCTTGCAGCAGTGTTACTGCTTAAAAAAATAAACTTTAGTTCAAGTTAAAAAAAAAAAAAACATGCAACATAATAACTCTGGATAATATTATATTTGAATTTTTCTTTTTCTTAGTGCCAGTGGACGATGCGGAATCGTCAAAACTAGATTCTAACCAGAAGACGACATTTACATCACATACTAAAAACCTCTATCTAAAAAATCTAACCACTTTTATCAAAAGAAAACTATTTATATTACAGTGGATTCCCAATTACTCGGGTGATGACTTTCTTGGCGATCTCTTGGCCGGTATAACAATCGGCTTAACAGTAATACCTCAATCAATGGCATTGTCTAGCATAGTTGGGATACCAGCTCAGGTACGTGAAGTTAGATCTATCGTAATGGCACGATTTGTACATAGATCATATTTTTATTATTATAATATTTGATCAAATTTGTGTAGGTACACACAGTGTATAGGGAATGATCAATGATCATATAATCACTTATCATATTTTTTCGTAATGATATTTTAACTGTTGAAGTATATATTTTTGATCCATCACATTGCACCATTTTATTTTTCAACATATAAAAACCAATTTTTTTTCAGTATGGTCTTTATAGTTCCTTTGTAGGGACATTCATTTACTTACTATTTGGCACAAGCAAAGTAGTCCCGATGGGACCAACCGCCATCGTCGCTCTGTTGATTAACAACACGATCGGAACTCGGGGATCGGCGTACGCAACGTTATTGTGCTTCCTGAGTGGCATAATCCAGACGCTGATGAGTTTTGCGGGCTTGGGGGTCATCATCAACTTCATATCTGTACCGGTGTCCTCAGGGTTCACGTCAGCCGCAGCTATTCTTATCATCATTTCCCAGGTGAAAGACCTGATTGGCGTCAAAGGTGGTGGTGGAAACTTGTTGAGGATGGTCCGAACAGTATTAAAGCACATCAATAACATTAGCACGGGAGACACAGTCATGGGCTTCGCATGCATAGGGGCAGTGATGCTCTTAAAGGTATACAATATTATATGTAATAATGTATCGTAGGCACGTGCATATCATTTCACTGTATACGGATTAAATATTACGTTATATAATAATATGTAATAATTGGATACAAGGATTGTTGCAGCGATAAATAGGTTTAAGTGTCGCACTGTATTGATGAGCATATCATTTAAATTTCAAGTAGTTTTACACGTATAAAGTATTATACATGGACATTTGGTACATCTATACCTGTACATTATAATGTGTCATTGAAATGTCATTTTCATGTAAGATAA